GTCGTCTCTGCCAGACTCGGAGTAGTCACTGCTGGGCACAGTCAGTTTCCTGTTCTTGGGTTCTGTGCCTCCCTCTGGCGACCCATGGTGGTGCAGACGTTTGAGCGCTTGGTTACCAGCAAGAAGACGGGCAGTTCCATTTCCGTCCACCCAGAGTCACCTTGGAAGAAAGGGCGAGCAGTCTACCTCCACATTGAAAACGCTGGGACTGCAGTCCTCTGGAACCCCTGGGACGGAGGGGTCATGAGTTGGGATTGAGCGAGTGGCGATTGGTTTCTCTCTTGAAATGACATCATCTAAACCCCGGACCCCTTCTTTTGTTCCCCCGTGGGGTCTTGTGGACCGTCCTGTGTTCGGAGACCTCAGTAAAGCTTTGCTTGTGACATTTGCAACCCTCTGGCCTCCCGCTGAGGACTGACTTTAATGGAATAAGACGCCACCTTGAGGGTGGTTTATCTGGCAAGTTTTCTCTTCAGAGGCAACACTTTTATTATGGGCCTTTGAGGAGGAGCCTTTGCTTAAATTATACCTCAGAATGCGCAAAGAGTCCCGTCCCGAGCCTTCCATAGTTTGCAAAGTCGCTCTGAAGGTCAGCATTTGATCCCCAAGTTGTGGGGAAGCTGTCCGAGAGACGGCACCATTCTGTTCCTGGTCGCGCCATGGATTTAGGGTCTGTGGGTAGTGACAATGTGTGTGTGGCCCTTAGACTGTGTGCATGGCACAGTGCTGCCCTCCAGCCTGCTGCTCAGGGGCTGCCACTCCTTTATAGCGAATTGGAATGAAGTCCCAGAAAGGGCAAGGCAGCCGTGATCTAGGACTATTTACCGTCTCTATAGAAACCGACTTATACTGTCCTCTAATGGAGTTGGAGTATACCCAAGGCCTGTGCGCAGACAGGCCAGAGAAACTCAAGCAGTAAGTGCTTGGTTGTCTATGTCCAGGTGTGAGTGTGGTAGGCATGGAGAAGAGGCCAATTTGCTCTAGGCCTGGCTGCAGCACAGCATTATCGGTTAGAGGGCATTGACACATGAACTGCCTAGTTTTGGAGGTCAAATAAAAAAATTTTCAGGTTTTTTTGGGGTGCATTTTTATAAAACTTGATTAAAAATTGTATTTCAAACCGTACAGTCAACAGAAGTACACAGTTCTCAAAACTGCACACACATGTCACTTGGCGTCTCCAGCTCCTTCAGCTTTCTATGCCTGGTCTGTTTTGGCCTCTCCATTTTCTGCAGGGCTGTTCTGTCCTCGGCAGCATCAGCTGTCCCCTTTCCCCTTTAGGGACCTTCTCTCCTGTCTTCGCAGGGGCCTTTTTCGGCCTTGGCTCTGGTTCTAGAGGAGCAGGTTTAGCAGATAACCTTGCTGATGATCTCTGAGGTTCATCCTTCACTTTGGCTTTCTCTCCCTTAGCTTCCCCTTCCGCCTCTCTCTCGGGCCTGGTGGCGACGGCGGCGGGGCGCAGGCTGTGGTCGATCTGGGGGTCGTTCTCGCCTCTTCTTCACATGGCTCCTTTGTTTGTTTTTTTAAAAATACAGCTTTTGTAGGATTCTATTAAGGCCTGTTAGAAAGTTGAATGGCCTGCCCTCCTTTCTGCTGTGGCCATTCACCAGAGTGACGATCTTCATTCCATCAGATAGTGTGGGTTCCATCGAGAAGAGCCATTGCCACCATGCCCAAGAGAAATGCCTCATCTCTCGGTATTTCTTTCATTCTTCGTACCCTCACCATCGGCCCCCTGCCAGCGACTTGATCCCATCTCCTAGCAGGATGCTATCCCGGGTTTCCGTGGTAGCCCCGACCTTTTCCCGCTGAGGGGTTGGTAGGTTTGAGCTGCCAACCTTGCAGTTAGTGCCCAGTACTTACTGGACAGTGCCGCCGAGACTCCTTAATCTGCATGCAGGGGGCTGGATTGTTGTCATGGGTGTTTGATGGCAGGATTGTCCTTCCTCACGGGACTGCCCCTTGTCTAAGTCCAGCAGCTGGACAGCAGGCCTTCATTCCTTCTGCAGATGGCAGGGCAGGTGGTGTCTCTGTCCGTTCCATCAAGCCTTAGCTCTTCAACGAGAAACTTGTGACCCTGGGCAAGTGACTCAACTTCTCTGT